TCTCTCTCTATCTATCTATATATATATATAACACAATTCCAAATAAACTTCGGATTCTCTGAACTTTAAAAATTATTTGGCTCTGAACTGACATCAATCAAATCTCTACATACATACACAAGCTCATCGAGACTCCTCAAAAAGTTTATTTCTCAGATTCCATTACTTTGACGAGCACCTCATTTCACCACAATATAACGTCTCTAATGTCTCTAATGTCTCTAATGTCTCTAATGTCTCTAATGTCTCTAATGTCTCTAATGTCTCACACATTGCACTAGGAGCCCCCCCCCCTTTTCGATGAAAGGAATGATCGGTGCATGAACATCAACTGAAAGTCATTGGCCTACAATATTTACACTCTACCGGAATGAGCAAGATATTATCATGAAAAAAAAGTGACACACATGTTTCCAAGTTGCCAAATATAATCAATATAATAGATATTAAGATTGATTTTCTATTCCGCTTTCGTGGTTGTACACTCCAGAATATCTAAGGTATGGAAGGAGTGCGCACTCATTGTGAACGGAAGCCTCATTTGTTCACAATGGCGTCTAAAAAGACGGACTTTCCCCAGATTAGATCGAAACGAAACCTATGAAAAAATGAAAATTAAACTACAGTGAATTCAGACGTCAGACTCTTAGGTTAAACTGAACCACCGTTAATTTTTTTTTTTCAAATTCGAAAGTTAAGTGGTTCTGAAGTTTTAGGCGGCAAAAGAAGAACGTTCAACCAGATGTGCACTGGCACAATCAGTGGAAAGATCCTCGGTGGCATTTTGGAAAGAGCAACGGAGCATCAATGGACATGTCCGGAGTGAAGGGATGTTGCTCCCTGAAACAATGAACAATGAACAATGAACAATGAGGCGGCTAAACAGACGGACTTTCTCAAATGTGATATGTACAGACTCCAGACACTCACCCAGTGGGCCCCAACACCGGGATGACTTTACAGTGGAAAGGTATCGTGTCTCCGCTCTTCCGCCGAGTGTAGTACGTGCCCTCCCAGTGCTGGGGACGGAGGGGGGGGGAAGAGAGAGGAGAGAGATATTCCGTCAGTTCATCATCATCATCATCATCATCATCATCATCATCATCATCATCATCATCATC